GGGGGCGGGGCCTGGTGCCCGAGCCCCTCCCCACGCGGCCGGCCCTGAGCCTGGCTGCGAGCGCACGCGCACACACGGGCGCGCCCGGGTTCGCGGCCGCGCTGGGTATACACGCCCGCGCTCTCGGGGGTCCTCTTGGCTGGGTCCCGGCTTCCCCTCCTGCGCAGCCGGCCGGGCGCTGGTCCGGAGCAGGAGCCCCTGGAGTAGGTCCGCGCCCCAGGCCCTCCCAGACACCCTGTGCCCGACTCGCCGTGGGTTCCCTGGCCCTGCCCAGATCTGACAGGGGCCTTGGCGCTGACCGCTGGGCTCTCCACGGTTTTCGGGGCGTATTTCGGGGGCACGAGGCACGGCTTGGCCCTCGTGCACCTCCGCCCCTGTTCGCAAGGCCAGGTGAGACCACGTGTGTAAAGCGCTCAGCACAGCGAACGTCCCAGGAGAGGCTCTTTCAATATTGCCTAGCTCCCTGCGCCACACTTGTCACTGAAGAATCGTTTTTTGTTTGAAGAAGCGTTTTACTTTGGCTTTTGGAAGGTTTTCTCTTTAGCTTCTGCCCTGTAGCCCGGCCACACAGCCGGCCATTCCTTCCTCCCGCGTGAAGTCCTAGAGGGGCTTCTGCTGCCCCGCTATGAAAGCCGACGCCCCTCCTGACTTGCGGACTATGATGCGCTGTCACCAGGTCGTGCGGGTCTCTGCCGCCGCCGCCCCTCCCTCTGCTGACATCCTCAGCCACCCTGGCTCTGCCCTGCCCTCACCTGGCTCGCCTCCTCCCCGGGTTGTGTACTCAGTCTTGGCGGTTCCACTTCCGGTCTCCTATGGCCGTGGTGGGACTAAACTCGTCCCCTACCCCACCTTTCAAATTTGATGTGGTCCCTTGACCTGCTTGACCAATGAAATGTGAGCACAGGTGACCTGTGTTATTTCTGGGCCAAGCTCTAGGCGCCAGTGTCCGACTGGCCATACATATGCCCTCGGCTAAGAGGGAGCCCCCATCACTTGGGGACCACCTGCCGACCAGCCATGGACAGGTAGAGCAAGGGAGAAACAGCCACTGTGGTCAGCATTGAGACTGGGGAGTTATTTCTGCCGCAGCACAACCTAGGTCAGTCCTCCCGACCATCTACCGCAGGTCTCCCTGCCTGGCTGACACGCGCTTCCGGTCTCGAGATAAACTCTGCGGAAGTTCCCTGGACTCTGGGCTCCGAGATTGCGCTCAGCCTCCCTCCGCTGAGCTCCCACAGCTCTCCATACTTGGCTCCCTCTTACAATTTGCATTTGCAGGTGGGACATTGAAGGCTCCTAGCACCACGCCTGCAGGAGGAGGTACTCTTTGGGGATTCATTGGGTGCAGGAGTGAATGAATGCAGGAATGTTTTTGAAAGAAGGAGCACTGAGGCAGGGCGTGAGCCAGGGCAGGCTGAGGGAAGGGGTGCACAGTGTGGGCAGGAGACAGAAAAGGTTAGGAGCTGCCTCACCCTAGAGCAGACCAGGTTGCCACACCCCACCAAATCCTGCTGTGAAGTTCCAGGGGGCTGGGAGGGACTAAGACTAGAACGGAGAGCAAATGTGAGTGGAAAGGGAGCATTGAGGCCGACAGAGCATCCCTGGATGCCCCTGAGTGCCCACATTGATCAGGAACATCAGCTTGGTGAAGGCAGGGACCTCTCATCCCGTTCCAGTGACAAGAGACCATCAAGGACTCAGTAACCAGATAAATGAGTCCGCAACATCCAGCACGTGGGAGCACACAGTCGGGATCGTGGGCAGTGCATGATCTTGGGACCGCCTCAGCCGCGGTGGTCGGACAGGTCTCTGAACAGGTGGCCTTGTTGCTGAGCATTAACAGCCAGACCTCTGAAGATCCAGGGCCCAGGAGCTGCCAGGACACTGGCCCTGAGGTAGGAACGAGCTAGAGTGCGAGGACAGAAGGGGCCAGTGTCGCGGGGGGGGGGGGGGGGGGGGGGGGGGGGGGGGGGGGGGGGGGGGGGGGGGGGGGGGGGGGGGGGGGGGCATTGAGTGCCCACTGAGTCAGGGAATGTGCAGGACGGCTGAGGGCTGGTTTTGTATCCAGGCTCAGTCCCTGAAACCCAGGCACAAATGTGTGTTAGTCTACAATTCGTCCATGAAGCCGTGCTTCCAGAGGGGATTTCCTCTGACGCTGAGTCAGGAATTGTCACATAACGGGCACACAGTACAGTCTCTTCAGTTTTCATGTCTTACATCAAGTCACTTTGTCTTACATCATCATGGTGAAATGAACACTTGTGGGCTTCCCACACTGCCTGCACCTTTGTAAATAATCCCTTAATTAAACTCCCCTCAGATGACCTAATTTGAAGGTGCTCTTTCCTGCTGGGAAAGATACCATAACTAGCCCCAGGAAACAGGAAACAGAAGCTCAGATGGGATTCTGATCCTACACTGCTCACCTAGGTGGAGAATCCATGGCTAGCCTCCTTCCCAGCAGGAAATGGAAAACAGGTCATCCTCAGTGGTGGTGCCATCAGAATGAGCCCTGGGGGGGACATGGGACGAAATACATGTGAAAGGCACGGACCTGGAAATCAAGTGCTGGGCTACTTGGTTGCTGGGTGACCATATTGATTCTCGAGGTCATGGGGCCACTGGCTTCTTCTGGTGACTCCAGAGGAATGAACAGGCAGGGAGAGGAGGATACACGGTGGAGAACAGGAATGGAGAACAGGAGCCACACGCCGACTGGAAGGCATCCTGCACCCCTATTGTGATGGCACCAGGGCTGAAGCACACACTCAGTGCTTAACTCCATCAGTCTCCTAGTGTGTCAGTTCCCAGGGCTGCTGTGACAAAGTGCCACAAACTGATGGCTGGAAACAACAGAAATGTATTCTTTCACAGTCCTGGAGCCAGAAGTCCAAAATTAAGGTGTCAGCAGAGTTGGGTTCCTTCTGGAGGTCCTGAGAGATAATCCATTCCAGGCCTTTCTCCTGGCTTCTGGTACTTTCTGGCAAGCCTTGGCATTCCTGGTCTTACAGATGCATCACTCCACTCTCTGCCTCCATCATCCATCGCCTTTTCATCTGTGTGTTCTCCCCTTTTCTTCCCTTATAAGGACACTTGTCATAGGATTTAGGGCCCACCTTAATGCAGGATGATACCATCTTGAGATCCTTAACTTAATTACATCTGCGAAGACCCTTTTTCCAAATAAGGTCACATTCACAGGTTCTGGGTGGACATACCTTTTGGGGGGCCACTATTAAACCCACTGAAATCCACCCTTTGGCCCCTCAAAATCCGTGTCCATGTGCTAAATACATTCATCACATCCAGAGTTCCCCAAAAGTCTCACCATTATAGCATCAACTCTAAGTCTAAAATCTCGTCTAAATATTATCAGCTCAAAAGTCCCAAGCCTCATCATCTAAATCAGGTCTGGGTGAGACTCTGGGTATGATCCATCCTGAGGAAAATTCCTCTTCATCCATGGGCCTGTGAAACTAGAAAACAAGTTATCTGTTTTCAAAATACGATGGTGGAATGAGCATAGGATAGACATTTCCATTCCAAAAGGGAGAAATTAGAAGGAATAAAGGAGTCACCAGTCCCAAGTAAGTTCAAAATCCAGCAGGGGAAATTCCATTAAGTTTCAAGGCCTGAGACGAATCCTCTGTGGCTTGAGGCTCCAACCTCTGGGCCCAGAGTGGCCATTGGCCCTGCACCACCCTCAGAGTCATTCTTCTTCTTTCTTCAAGGATAGCACACATTTGCAGCTGAGTAGCTCTGTCAGTCCATTTCCTGCTTGTAGAATTTTGGGTCTGATAGCCCTCTTTCACTTTGTCCTGAATCTGTTCCTTTCAGTCCAAGCTGGAAATGTTCCTGCTGATACAACATTCTCAAAAACCTTGTGAATCTCCTGTGTGTGTCACAGGAATCCACTGAACAAGAGGGGCCTCTACAGATGTTTCCTGGATAACCCCGCCTCTATTCTTGGCTTCTGCTGAGGTGGCTGAGTGGATTTACGAGTCACACACCTAATCTCTTCAGCCACAGCCCTGGCCCTCTGCTTAGAACATGCTTTCCAACAGTAAATTTACTAGCTTTAGCACTGTTGCAATCTGGATAGGCCAGGAACCTCCCAAATCATTAAGTAATGGTTCATTTTTGCTTCACAGATCCTCCCTTAATTTATATCTTTCCTCTCACATTTTACAATAAGCAGCAAGGAGAAACCAGCCCACACCGTTAACACTATGCTTGTAAATCTCAGCCAAATGTCTAAGTTCTCCACTTACAAGTCCTGCATTCCACCCAACATTAGCACACAGTTCAGTCAAGCTTTCTGCCACTTTAAAGCAGAGTTCACTTTTCCTCCAGTTTCCAATAACATGTTCCTCATTTCCATCTGACATCTCACCAGAATCACCTTTAAGGTCCCTATTTTCTACCAACTGTCCCTTCATCTGATTGGATGAGACCCACTCAGATTCTCAAGGGTAATCTCCTTTATTTAAACTCAACTGATTGTAGATGTTAACCACATCTGCAAAATACCTTCACAGCAACACCTACGTTAGTTTGATTGAATAACTCCTAGCCAAGTTGACACATAAAACTACTACACCTATGTTGTAGTTACACATGCATGGGGGGAAAAGGGAACTTTGAGAGTCAGATGGGGACATTTGGGCAGACATGGATGAGGCTAAGAACTTTGAACTCCCAAATCTCCTTGAGCCTCCCCTGATGGCAGAAGCAACCCTTCTCCCTCTCAAGGAATAAGCCTTCCTTTGCATAGAAGCTTTCCTGTGATAGTACCTGGGGCAGATGCCTCTCAAGCTGATGCCAGTCCTTTTCAGGACCCGCCCTTAGCAACCCTGCAGGCCCATAAGAGAGCCAGGCAGTCAGACGGTCAGATGACAACAGAGTCTGGATGGACAAGTACAAAGACTGCTCCGGGAGGAGAGAGCCTTTGTGCAAAAAGAGATACTGTAGAAAGGGACTTTAAAATAACAATTATAAATGTATTAGAGAGTTTACAGGAAAAGATGGATATAGTGGGTGAAGAGATAGGTAACTTCAGATGAAAAATAGAAATTTTAAAAAAGAATCAAATGGAGAGTTTAGAACTGAAAAATATAATGTCTGACATTTAAAAAATATTTCAATAGCCTTAATATTATATTGGAAAAAGTAGAAGAAAAAATAGTGAACTCACAGACAGGTCAATAAAAATTATCAACAATGTATGAGGAAAAGTTGGAATAAAATGTGTTTCTGAAACGTGGGAAAAATTTTAGCTGGCTTCTCACCAGAAGAAATGGAGGCCAGAAGACAATGGAACAGCATCTTAACTTTGCTAAAAGGAAGAAGCTTCAACATGGAATTCTCTATCAAGGGAGAATATTCTTCAA